GCTGAAGAGATGCCTTTAAGTTAAAAATTGAGCACTGAATGATCATTTTAATATCTGAGATCATTCCTTTTCCATGATTTATTTTTTCCCTCTCTGTCCATACTTGAAAATTTCCCCATACAATGTATTTATCCACTTTTCAGTAATATTGTATACATGAAATATATTTAGTATAATGTTATTTATTTTTATCATATTTTATTGTATTTTACATATTCTTTATTGCTATAATAAACATGCTATAATTTGATGGCTATACAACCCTCTCTTTTTCATGATTCATATTGTGTCTTTGAAGGATGCTCAGCAGGGCATTTCCTGTGCTCAACCACGGTGCTCAAAGACCTACAGTCCACTGCCCCTCGCGTTTGGCTCCATTATACGTCTGTTATTTAGAGTTGCGTCTGTTATTTAGAGTTGGCCTATAAGAAGCTAATTGATCAATAGATAGGTACATAGGTAGATATATAGACATATGGTAGATATTTAAGGAGATGATGATAGATAGATAGATAGATAGATAGATAGATAGATAGATAGATAGATAAGAAGTTCAAGGCCACTCTCAGCTATATAGTGAGTTCAAGGCCAGCCTGGGCTACAGGAGACTAGATAGATAGATGATAGATATTAGATAGATGATAGATAGATAGATAGATAGATAGATAGATAGATAGATGATAGATGATAGATAGATAGGTGATAGATAAATTTGGATTGGGGTTAATAGGGGGTTCTACAAATATGGGAGGGGTTTCAGACACTGAAACCTGTGTTATTGTCTAATACTGATGTACTTAGGGTGTCATGGGTAAATTCAAATCATAATTTTTGATACCACAACAACATGCCATAGTCCATAATGAATTGGAATAGCACACCTGTGCATGTGTACAGAGATGGAAGGAAATGGATTTCATTGTGTAGGATGAATATGCTGGACATGCTTAGTCTAGAAAACTGATGGACTCGATGTGGGATTGTATGGTTAGCACTGACATTATCTTGAGTTGGGTTTCTTTTTCCTGTCATTCCACTTTCTGTCCTTACTGCCTGCAGGGGTACAGAAGGAAGGGTGAAAGTACACTTCGAGTGCCAGACTGATGGGGGATGGACACTGGTCTTGAAAGCAGAAAACTGTGTTTTGTTGTGCCTTATGGATGGGATTATATAAGAGTGTCCCATGGCCTAGTTGATATAAGCAATGCGTTCCTGTGAGAATAAATTTAAAATTAGAATTCCAAGATCATTTTATTTTATTTTTTGTCTTTTTGAGACAGGGTTTCCCTGTAGTCCCAGCTGTCCTGGAACTCGCTATGGAGACCAGGCTGGCCTCGAACTCAACAAAGATCCGCCTGCCTCTGCCTCCCGAGTGCTGGGATTAAAGGCGTGCACCACCACGCCTGGCCAGAATTCCAAGATCATATAAACCTAACACCCAAAGCAAATATCGCCCAGCAATAATCAGCTGCCAATAATTCTTCAACTAGGATTGGGGCTTGCTGTTCGTTTCCACAGTTCTGTGCTGGGTTTTTGTCTGCCTAAGTTTGCATGGGTCTTGTGCATGCTGACACCATTGCTGTAGGTTTGCATGAGAAGAGTCCCAGGAGCCTGTAGGACTATTTCCATATGGTCCTGCACCCAAGCCCTAGCTCTTACAATTTTTGTTCCCCCTCTTCTGCAGTGGTCTCTGAGCCCTGGGTGGGTGAGTGGATTTTAATGTAGGAATCCTGTCCAAGGACCCACAGTCTTCAGACTCTAAATTTCTGCATTTTGGACATTTGTGACCTTTTGCGTTCCTGGCCCTCTGCTTCATGAGGGAGCTTCACCGATGAGCACTGAAAGATGCGTTAGTGGTCCTTCATCCTTTGAAGACCACACATTCTTAAAAGCAAATTGTATTTACTAACAACGTGTGTGTGTGTGTGTGTGTGCGTGCACGTGTGTGTGTTATTTCATATATATTGTATTTAGAGACAGTAGAGTATAGGATAATTCAGGATTTGTGCATTTGTGTGTTGCGTCATGAAACATGGGAGTTTCGTGATTGCAGATGTGGAATGCTGCTGCAGTGAATCTACTTACCTTTACCAGGTGTTAGTGTAGTGAGATAATTTATTCATTTTTATTTAGAAATGTTCTTCCTGTGTCTGTAGAAGTGATCTTTGTCTACTGCTTAACATAATTGCATGATAGACGTAGTAACGTCTTGGCTTACTTCTAAAGTGAGCAACTGTAACTTGCAGAGTGCAAGATTTTGAGAGGAAAAAATGACTTAGACTGTGTTTAAGTGTCAAACCTCAAATGCTTTGTTAGTGACTCTAGTTAAGCCACATGAAATACTGTCATAGGAAATGATCAAACATTGATAGGACCAAGTTTTTCTGTTTTAAATGCTTCTACTTTCTTGATTATCAGCTTGATCTAAGTAATAACTCGAGTAACCCTTTATATTAGTGTTTCTAAATACGTAGGTGTGTAAATAGAGCGCTTAACGTTGCATGCCCATTGTTGCCTCCTAGAAGAAAAGTATGGTTTTTTTGTGGTGGGGGGGCATTTTTTGTTTTTACAAATGTAAATAGTTCCAACCAGAGAGTCTCTATTCTGTGCCGTATAGATGTACACTATGGCATTCATCTAAAAAAATGTTTATTGTGCTTCTTTCTATGTATAGTTAAAGTCTGTAGTCAGTATTTAAGATCAGTGTGCAACTGTGCTGTTTGGCAGGGGTGGGGGTGGGGTGGACCCAGGACCCTGTTCATGCTAAGAAAGCTATGACCAAAGCCTATCGTTGATCACATTTAATGAAACCTGCATTTTAGCAGTTTTTTATCTTCCTGACTTTGTCTTTTATAAGAGTTGCCAATGATTTATATATTTTTTAATTTTCATACATTTCCTTTCTTCATAACTAATAATTATAGTTATGATGAGCTACAAGGAACTTGGTCATCTAGAAACAAGATGTCCAGCTTGAGAAGTGAGCAGACCATATTTTGAATGACAGTCTGTCTCACTAGTTGATGAGTCAAGTGTTTATGTAGATAACAAAATATTGTTAATCTTTTTAAGAGAGTTTCAAAAGTAGCAAAGCCTAATTTTCATAATAGAATAAAATAGTTTTTTGGGGGGTGGCAGGGGGGATAAGTCCTGGCTGTGTAGCACAGGTTGGCCTTGAACTCACTACGCAGCCCAGCCTGGCCTCCCACTCAGGATGCTCCTCCCTCAGCTTCCCAACTGCTGGTGTTGGAGGTGTACACCACCTTGCCCAGGTCCATATTTTACTTTGAACATGTGCCAAAGGTGACTCTTATTGTAAAGGAATCTTCACTTTTAAAAAATTATTGCCAATATTAAGAATAAATTTACATTATACACCGTAGTTCAATTTAGTGGTTGATGCAAGTAAAAGCAAAAGGCGACCCTCAATAGTGCAGCATAATTCTACACACCAATTCTGAGAGACACTACATAGCAAGTTTAAACAAAGAAGCAAGAGGAAGCTGATTGCTGGAATGTTAAATTTAAGAAACACCTTTAAAAGCAACAAAAGACAAAGACATCACAGATACCCGGGGATATCCCTGAGCCAAGAAAGCCCTGTAGAGGAATAGTAAAGTAGGAGGGACCTACAGCTGCCCTCTAAAGCCTTTATGACTAAGTTCCTTCAGCACCTGCAACTGGCAGGCTTTCCACATCCCTCTCCACACACGGAAAGCCAGCAAGTGATAGGATTTCTTTTTGCAAACTCAGCTCTTCCTGGAGTTAGAAAAGTAGTCATATCTCGTTAGCCTGTATTTGTGGTATAGCAGGTAGCCTTGGTTCATGTTCACCCTCCACTGTGTTTTTTAAAAGACTGCAAATAAAGTTTTATCTTTAAAAGTATTTTAGCAGTAGCATTTTACATGTAAAATAAACGGTGGTTCTTTCTCAATTTTCATATGGTTTTAATATAGATAGAGTTTTTCAGTTATATGTATGTAAAATTAATTAGCCACATTTAGTTTAAAAGTTTAAGTGATCCCTTTTCATATAAAAGCAGAGATT